TACCTAAATTAGAACCAAACTCTCGAAATAAAATATATATTTTTCCAGTCAATGTCCCTCAATGGTTTGGGCTGACGGTCTACATTACAAAAAATCTTTATTAAATACGAAGTTTATTCATTGAAAACTTAACTCCATGCATGCTGCATCTGAAACAGTATTTATGTGCACATATACTTCATCACATGGCAGTGACAATAGAACTACAATTCCCTGCATGCATAGTGCCTAGATAGCTGCTAGATTTGGTAAACTTAGTTCCTTAGCTCTCCTGTAATCAGTGGAGCTGCTTGTGATTACTCTGGTCTGTTCTGAGCTTCACAGGCTATGGGGTTAGCTGCTTCCCCCTGCCTTCTGGATGGTTTGGGAAAGTAGTGGACTGGGAGAGTCAAATCTATAGTATGAATATGTGGTCCATGCCAATCCTTGGGGGAGGGTGCTTAGTTGGCGGCTGGGAGAGGGCATAAACAGTTTGTGGCTAGGAGCAGAGAGGTTCTTGTCCAGGAAGAGAAGATCTCAGCCTGAAGGGCTGCTTCCCTTCTGGGCAGTCAAGCTGTGCTTCTTTACTTGTCCATCGAGGGCATTGTTATTTGATCCTCAAGGCCCCAAGTGTGCTAGCTGAGGGGCCTATTCTATTTTGCTGGACCTGACTGCAGGATTTTTGGGGATCAGGTCTGAAGCATTCACAGGAGGAATGTCTGGCTGATATTGGAAGAAGACATTTGTGAGTACAGATCGGTGTGTGAGATCCCAGTGACTGTGTGCTGCTGCTATACCTCTTGCATCGGAGTCAGCTTGTACTAAACATGGGCATTGCTCATGGTGTCCCTGTGTAGCTCAACTGATCATTTGCTGCTGCAAGGACTGCCCTATGAATTTCAGGTGGAAGTGAGGTGTCCTCAAGATACTACTTAATGTTATTGGAGTATCCCATGGTTACCCACACCCATCCAAGTTCAAGTTTCAAAAAAGCATCAAAAAAAGGATACCCCTAGACTAATCATTGAGCCAAAAGAGTGACTAAGACAGTGTGCCTGGATGCTTGTACATTTAATGAGAATGGAACCTTTAGCCAAATCAGTGGGCCCTTTTGTTGGGAGTGAGCGCTACACTTTGGAAGCAGCAACACAGAAGGTAGGCACTGTCTATCAAGTTAATCAGCAGGAAAGCTTGGGTGAAAGAAATCTGTGAGGTGCATGTCAACACAATGAATTGTAGTATTCTATTTAAACAAGCCCCCCGGGGGGTTCTGTGGATCACTGGTACATATGTGGATCATTGGTACAGATGTGGATAACCAGTGGTACACCGTGATGGATGTGGATCACTGATACTGTGTGACAGATGTTGATCAAGGGTACTGTGACAGATGTGGATCAAGGGTACTGTAACAGATGTGGATCACTGGCACTGTGTGACAGATGTGGATCACAGATGTGGATTACGAGTACTGTGACAGATGTGGATCACAGATGTTGATCATGGGTATGGTGATGTGGATCATAGATGGGATCACGGGTACGGTGGTGGGACATGGGTATGTGGATCATAGATGTGGATCACGGGTACGGTGACATATGTGGGCTCATGGGTACTGGTGACAGATGTGGCTCACGGGCACTGTGACAGATGTGGCTCATGGGCACTGTGACAGATGGGGATCACTGGCATTGTGACAGATGTGGATCACAGGTACTGTGACAGATGTGGATAACGGGTACTGTGACAGATGTGGATCACTAGCATTGTGACAGATGTTGATCACAGATGTGGATCACTGGTACTGTGACAGATGTGGATCACGGGTACTGTGACAGATGTGGATCACGGGTACTGTGACAGATGTGGATCACGGGTACTGTGACAGATGTGGATCACGGGTACTGTGACAGATGTGGATCATGGGTATGGTGACAGATGTGGCTCACGGGCACTGTGACAGATGTGGCTCATGGGCACTGTGACAGATGGGGATCACTGGCTGTGACAGATGTGGATCACAGGTACTGTGACAGATGTGGATCAGATGTGGATCACGGGTACGGTGACATATGTGGGTCATGGGTATGGTGACAGATGTGGCTCACGGGCACTGTGACAGATGTGGCTCATGGGCACTGTGTGGGGATCACTGGCATTGTGACAGATGTACAGGTACTGTGACAGATGTGGATGGTACTGTGACAGATGTGGCACTGTGACAGATGTTGATCACAGATGTGGATCACTGGTACTGTGACAGATGTGGATCACGGGTACTGTGACAGATGTGGATCACGGGTACTGTGACAGATGTGGATCACGGGTACTGTGACAGATGTGGATCACGGGTACTGTGACAGATGTGGATCATGGGTACTGAGACATGTGTGGATCACGGGTACGGTGACAGATGTGGATCACGGGTACAGTGACAGATGTGGCTCATGGTTACTGTGACAGATGTGGACCACTGGCACTGTGACAGATGTGGACAGATGTGGATCACTGGTACTGTGACAGATGTGAACATGGGTACGGTAACAGATGTGGCTCATGAGCACTGTGACAGATGGGGTGGCACTGTAACAGATGTGGTACGGTGACAGATGTGGATCACGGGTACTGTGACAGATGTAGGTCACTACGGTGACAGATGTGGATCACTGGTACTGTGACAGATGTGAATCTCGGGTACGCTGACAGATGTGGATCACGGGTACTGTGATAGATGTGGATCACGGGTACTGTGACAGATGTGGATCACTGGGACAGATGTGGATCACTGGGACAGATGTTGGTCACAGATGTGGATTACTGGTACTGTGACAGATGTGGATCACTGGTACTGTGACAGATGTGAATCACAGATGATCTACATCTGTCACAGCACCAGTGATTCACATCTGTCACAGTACCAGTGATAGATACTGGTACTGTGACAGGGTGATGTGTAGGTGGTGTGCTTGTGTGCACTCGCTGATCGGCTTGGTTTCTCCTCCTCACTCACGGGCTCTGTGTGAGGAGAGACAGAGCTGTTCCACTGAATGGCAGCTTTGTTGACATCACATGACAGCTGTGATTGGAAACAGCCGTCATATGATCAGAATGGCCAATCAGAGGGCCCTTCTGCCGAGTGGTGTTGCGCTGTGTCCGAGGGACACAGGCACACCGAAAAGTGCGCAGCTACCCAGCCATGAGGCCGCGCTTGTGCGCATGTTCTGAAGGACATTCCTGAACGTCCACTCAGAACGACGAAGCTCCCACCTGGCTGTTAATGTCCAGTGGCCTGGGTGGGAAGTGGTTAAAGTGTTACTAAACCCCGGACCCTGCATTCACTATATTTTGGTCTCCCACAGTACACAGAACATGGAAATGCAATTATTTTAGTAAATATAAACTGCCAAATACCTTTTCTCATCAACAGTTAGAGCAGGCTTGTGACTTCTCTCAGTGTCCAGCAAAGCACTGCTTACAGCTTATAGGAGGAAATTTCATTCTCCTGTAGGAGGCTGCAAGACCCCTGACCTCTGTCTGAAGAGTGCTGAATGGCCCTGTGCTGATCACATGCACCCTCCCAAGAAAAACAAAACTCTCTAGCAATACAAACCAAACTAGGCATGTGCAGCTTGCCCCCCCCCCCCCCAGCCTCTGTTCTATCAGGAGATAGAGGGGAACACTGGAAGAAGGGGAGGATCAGAGAAGTCAGGATCAAACATTCTTTTCACACAATGCAGAGGATTAACCCCCTAGGTTCCACATTGAGTATAACAAGCATGCTTTACTGCATATACAGACTGATTTTACTGTTGTGGGTTTAGTAACACTTTAAATATTAAAATGCATAAGCTAGCTTTGTATATCTAGGGATAACAAGCTAGTCTTCAAACATAACTTTTTACCATTGCATTTTAATGCCCTGTACTTTGAGTGCTACCATCATAGTAAAGCTGATCATGCATGGATCAAAATGTGGTCGATTCAGCAGGAAGTGGCAGAATTTCTATCTATGTGTGGCCACTGTAGTTAAACAAAATTTGATCTACCAATCAACTTCTGTTCTATCACCCTGTTGGTATTTTTTCAATCGTTCAGCTCTGCAGACTATACTGTAAACTGCAGTGCTAAAATGTGTATTCTGATGGTGGGGAAGTCTCTCTGCTGTCACAATAAAATTACACATCAGGAAGGATTCCCTCACGGGGAGCGGAGCCCATTTTTTCTGAATATTCACTGAGCTTAGTAAATTGGGTGAAGCTAGGTTCATCTCAATTATCCAGTCATGTTCCAGTCATGAAAGAATTGTTTTTGTTTTTGATCCTATGCACATATTTGAAAAGCAAGCTGCTACACCCGGTTTTGGTGTTTGTGTAAATGAAGCTTAATACAGTGAATGAGTTTAAAAATTAGTCCAATACATCATACCCTTTTTTTTAAAACTCATGTGCTGAGTAATGTGTTTAGCTAAAATGTTATATTTTTCCTAGATTTGGCTATCATGTAGGTAAGCTTCAGAAGATCTTTGAAAGTCCTCTTCCTCTCAAGCCTGCTGCTTGGGCCAAGCCTGAGATCTGCAGCCACTAGCTTTTTCTGCTGGAGGATATATCCAGGAGAGGAAGTGCAGAAGGTGTTTCCCTTGATTGGAATTTTACCAGGGGTAAAGCTTGATCTCCTAAATAGTATCCAGAAGAGCTAGGTACAAACTGTGGACATTTCAGGAAGTTCTGATGGCTCATCCAAGAAGGATGTGTGCTGCATTAAAGCTGCTATACAGTCTGGTGAATACCGAATTTTGCCTTGGCACAACGGTCCTTCTTCTGTGTTGACTGTGAATAGAGATTCAGAGTCTGCATTCTGTTTTTTTGGGGGGTATCCTTTGCCCTAATTGCTCTCTCCCTGGGTTTACTGGCTGTAAGAAATTCTTGCTGCCTTTCATTTCTGGAAAATTTAACAATTTCTTTAATCACACAGAGTCAGGAATCTGCAAAGGGTAAGAGGGTTATACAAATGTTTTTGATTACCTGTCTCCATCTCGCAGTGCTTTCATTTGCTTTGCAATTAAACATGCAAATAAAGGTCCAGTTCTAGAGTCAGGAAGAAGATCTTCTATCAGGCCACCCAGCCAGACATCTATATTATTAGGATGTTTATATTGCTCCATAATTCTACTGATTATATTGTCGTCAGATATAACCATTTTCATGTCTGCTGAAGTGTTCAGTCGTGGTAATCTGCAATATTCTCTCCAGTCATTGTATCCTGTAAGAACAGTATAATTAAGAGTAGAAGTTTTGCTGAATGGCAATGTCCAGCTTTATGTTTTTCATTTTCACTGTAGCTGTAAACCTCTATAAGAAAAATAAATAGAGCATATCCTTCTACCCTTCATATCCTTCTATAGTGTGTACGTGTCTCCATCCAAAGCACCAAAGTGTGATTTCCATCTGCTCTGTTGTTCTCTCTATCCGCATGAGTCAATTTTGACATTCTATGCTGACACCAGACAATCCCAAGAGACCAGATGGCCCATCCCACTCCAGCACACAGCTGGTAAATGACAGCCTCAGCTACATGTTTTCCTATGTATAGGGAGTGTGCTCGTTCCCTCCACTTAGGTCTCAGATTACACTCGGCTCGCTACTCTATGCAGTGCAGTGTGTGACACCACATCCCTGCTTCCTGAACGCTCTGAAATGCTGTGTAAATTCTGTACCTTGAACAGCTGTAGAGAAGATAGGGATGCAAATAAATAGGTACAACTTATGCAGGAGAGGACTCTTTTCCATTTCTGTGTATCACCTGAGGCTAGGCACTTCATTGGGTACGTGTATAAGGGTTTACAACTACTTAAAAAATATTACAAGCCATACCAGCAGATTTCTAACTCCTTGGCAATATTATCAGGGGAAGGATGTCTCTGTTTCACAGTTTGGTATCTTTTCTGTGTTCCCGACAACTGTTTGCACTTTATGTTCATCAATCTTCCTCTTTCTCCTGATGGTACAACAGAGGAGTTGTGCAAATTCTGCTGCAGGATGGTCCAACACAATCCCCAGAGAGCTACAGCCTGTGATATGCCATGTATCCATCATTTAATTTGTAAGTGCTGTATTTGATTTTACTTCTTACTTCCTGTGAGCCCTGAACACACCCCCAGGGGGCACATCATTAGGCTAGCCTTGACTCACAAGAGAAAGGTGCAGGGAACAGCTCCAGAACATTAGGTGGCGATATACTCTGCAGCATTCAGGAAGTGGCCATAGCCACTGCATTAACAAAAGGAAGACATCCCCAGGGACATCACATGATTAGCCAAGATACTGCTGCAAAAATGTATAAATGAAATAAAAAATATACTGGTAGACATCTTCTTCTGTACCCATGAAGACCCCCATTTTATCATGTTGAAAGCTGGTTCAAATTGTGTGATGTTATTGTTAAACGTTGATTAACATAAGCAGTTGTCTTCAGTTTTGCAATAAGAAAACTTAGGTCATTTCTTATTGTGGTGCAAACAATGGTACAGACATAAAGAAACAATGTAGGTGGTAATAACTGTGTTCAAAGATGATTATGTGTCTCCCTGCCCTGCAATTTAAAGTTGATCAGAAAGTTAAACATCCTTTGAGTTTGAAAATATAGAACTCTTTCATGGTTGAATTTTTTAGACCTGAAAAAATTGTTTGTCCTTTACTACAGGGACGCTTTTTGCACACACAAAACAAACAAAACAGAGAAAAATGTCAGTCTTGACATTAATAATAAAACATCTCAAAATGCTCTGGGAATGATATGAAAAAGTTTGGAGATTGTTTCCTGAAAGAGCGAAGTATATATACAGAACTTACATAACTCTTGGCAGCTCTTTAGAAAATAACAATACTTCTGACAACTGCAATACATTGATCTTTGGTCTTTAAAAAGCAATGTATCCTGGACAAAAGAGAAAAGTAACCTGGTAAGCCATGGTCACGACCCCGCTGCAAATCAAGGGATGCCAAATCCATTGAACCATTAATGGATAGGACAAGCAGCTTTTCTGTTAACTCTTCATTCATGAGCTGCTTCTGTGTCTGCAACTTTGCCAGTTTTCCTAACAGACCTCTTATCAAGGGATCTAGACCACCTAAAATGTAAAAAAAAAAAACACAGATATATAGTTACATAGTTAGTCTGGCTGAAAAAAGACAAAAGTCCATCCAGTTTTAACCATAAAAAAAAAAAGTTATAACCCTATACACACCGTTGATCCAGAGGAAGGCAAAAAAAACCCAGCAAAGCATGATCCAATTTGCTCATATTAATGAATCAATCAATCAATCCAATTTTCACTTAATAAATGAATTGTACTGATTAAACATGAGATTAATGTCCCATGGGAAGGATATTCTAAAAATGGCTACTCTAAGTTGATTTCCATTTGAGAGTTTGGACTGCAGTTTCTCTAGTTAAAAAAGCTCCCGAAATAGGAATTTATGAATAATAAAATATGCTTTAAATGCTAAGTTCACCTTTTCAAAATAGCTTAGGCAGTCAAGTGGCTCCTGTTCTGTAAAAAACAGGGCTGCCTATAAAGGTGTACAGGGCCCAGGCCAGCAGAGGGCCAGGGCAGCTGACAAGCAGGAAGAACTGAATGGTGGGCAGGAAGGGTGATCAGTGCGACAGGGGGAAGGAAGGTGGGGGCAATTGCTGGAACTAACCCCCTCTGTGTGGTTTTTCCCTGCAGCAGCTGAAAGCCAGCGGGAAGGAGAGGAGGAGACGCTGGCTTTCAGCTGCTGCAGAGGGAAGCCACACAGGGCGATCAGTTCTGGTAATTTCCCCTCACTACACCAATCGTCCGCCCTGCCGCCCAGGAAACCTGTGTATCTCCCCTCGCAACGCTGCTGGTTTCACCTTCTCTCTACTGCTGATGCTCACAGGGGGATCCTTTTGGGATGGGGAGCCATGGAAGGCTCTGCACATAGTTTACCATGCAGTTTGTGAATGTACAGGAGCCTCTGTACAGAGTTAACTATTCATTCATTTACAGTTCAGTTGAAGCTGCAGAGAAAGGGACTGAGAATTCTATGTCCTAAGTTCCTTTCTCTGTTTCAAAAGGGAGAGATCAGGGGTCAGAGCACCCCCCAAGAGCGTTGTGAAAAAAAAAAATAAACAAATCATGATCCAATTTGCTCCTGCAGGGGAAAAAATTCCTTCCTGATCCCCATAGAGGTAATCGAATTTTCCCTGGATCAACTTTACCTATAAATGTTAGTATCCAGTTATATTCTGTATATCCAAGAAAAATTCCAGGCCTTCTTTAAAGCAATCCACTGAACTGGCCGGAACCAACTCTTGGGGAAGTCTATTCCACATTTTCACAGCTCTTAATATGATGAAACCTTTCTGTATTTGGAGATTAAATCTCTTTTCCTCCAGACATAAGGAGTGCCCCCTTGTCCTCTGTGATGACCTCAGGGTGAATAACTCTACACCGAGTTCACTATATGAACCACTGATGTATTTATACATGTTGATATTCCCCTTAATCTCCTCTTCTCAAGAGAGAATAAATTCAGTTTGTTTAATCTTTCCTCATAGCTGAGCTCCTCCATGCCTCTTATCAGTTTGGTTGCCCTTCTCTGTTCTTTCTCCAGTTCCCCAATATTATTTTTGTGAATTGGTGCCCAAAACTGAACTGCGTATTCCAGATGAGGTCTTGCTAATGATTTGACTGTCATGAGGAAGCAGCTGTATAAACACAGCTGCATATCCTAATTTGACAGATGTGCAGGTGTGTATGAGTTGTACCAAATGTGCTCTGTCTGTGTTCAGGGCCATACACCGGCATCAACAAGCCTGTCAAATTAAGGCTGGCAGCTGTGTTCACGGCCCCATAGAGTAGCATAGGCTGCATGTATGCAGCTCCAGCCATATGAAAAAAAAAAATGCTGATTCACACTGTACAGGTCACAGCACCCACGTGAATGAGCCCCAAGACCTCATTCACTTGCAGAGCTTTATGTATTTATTACCTTTTTAGCAGAAATTGTTTAAATTAGGATGTGTTTGTGTCCGCTAATAATGATTTTAGTGTATTTAAGCAAAAATATAATTTTGATATTTTCATGGGGGAGGGGGGCCCTGTCACGTAGGCTGTACGGGGATTCGGTGATTTCTAACCGCAGCCTTGCCAAAAGGCTATTTAGGTCTCCCTGGAAGCCTGACCAAAAAATCCCATTTACCAACTCCCACAACCAGCCTTCTTGCTGCTATGTCTTAGATTTGTTGGTTTTTGTTCCTGTAATGCTGGCAGAGTGTCCTACAGTCTCCATGTTCTAGCAACATGTCAGGACATGGGTGTTGCAAATTGGGAGTTTTTTGGCCATTCTTCTAGGGACCCAAATAGCCTACAGGTATGACAATATAATTAATAAACCATTTATACAGCTGCACAGTTTTTTTTAATATCTGCTGGGGCCCTTGATTGCATAGGCTATTTTCTGGAAATGGTAAATTTAGTCTTTAACTTGCATCAAGCAGACTGATTAACCTTCTTTTTAAAATGAAAGGTCTCTTTATAGTGAACCTGCAAGGTGCAAAATATTATAAAAGCATGTACATTTGATCATCTTCTAATCAATTTGAACCTAGACGTCCCGTGTGCATCCTATGCATGTAGACAGGTGCAGTCTCCTTCCTCCACTGCAGGTGTCGCTCAAACACAGCTGCATTACAGGAGGCGTCAAAGTCTGGAGGAAACTGTTCCTTTATTGCTTCCTGGGTCACTAGGGAAGTGATCCAGTTGGATGCTGCTGCCCCATGTGACTCTGGTGGCCATCTTTGATCAGACAAGGTCTATTTAAGACCCTAGCTCCCAGATTTGAAGGTCATTTTGTGAGTGGATAGGATTGCAACTGGACTTTGTGTAATCACTGCCGCAGCACCATGCTACACCCACCCACATGCAAATGACCTACACTTCACCCTTATGATCCATCTCATATGAGATGCTTGAACAGAGGATGTGGAGAAAATGTGGGGCTTCATCTGAAGCTGGCTAGAAGTAAAGTTAACTCTGTATAAAGTATCCACAGAATTGAAGGGTTCCTCAAGTGCACAAAAATCAATTAGATTATCAAAAGTCCTTAAAGGCACTACTAATTTTCTCATTATTGTGGTTGAAAATTAATGTCAATTTGACTACATTAATAATTAGAAAATTTTCATTTTCAGAACGTTCATTTTATTTCCTAACAAAAATCTACAAGTGCTAGATACGTTTACTTACATCTTTTTCAGGCAGTTTTGCTTGATGTTTTGTAAAGATTACAATCTTTTACAAACATATACAGTCGTGTTCAAAATAATAGCAGTCAGACATCACTAACCTGATCAATCACTGTTTTTGGTAGAAATTATATTTCTACATGGCAAATAATTTACTAGCAGGTGTAGTAGAGTAATAGAAATCCAACAGACCCAACAGTCATGACATGCATGCTGCTGATTCTGTGTCATTGAATCACTAATTGAAAGGGGCATGTTCAAAATAATAGCAGTGTGGAGTTCTATTAGTGAGGTCATTCATTCTTTTTAAAAACAGGTGCCAATTATTGCCCTTATTTAAGGAAGGAAGGCAGCAAATGTTGTACATGCTGGTTACATTGCATTTCTCTCTGAAATTCTGAGGAAAAAGGGTCGTTCCAGACATTGTTCAGAAGAAAAGCGTACCTTGATTAAAAAGTTGATTAGAGAGGGGAAAACATATAAAGAAGTGCAGAAAATGATAGGCTGCTCAGCTAAAATGATCGCAAATGCTTTAAAATGGCAACCAAAACCTGAAAGACGTAGAAGAAAGCGAAAAACTACCATTCGAATGGATAGAAGAATAGCCAAAATGGCAAGGACTCAGCAAACAATCAGTCAATCAGCCAAAATTGAAAAGATGTTTCGGCTTTAAACACACTTTAAGCACACTGGTAACCATTCATCATAGCTATCAGTTTTGAGTGGAGCTACCCTTTAAATGGCAAGGACTCAGCCAACAATCAGCTCCAGGAAGATCAAAGAAAGTCTAAAGTTACCTGTGAGTACTGTTACAATTAGAAGACGCCTATGTGAAGCCAAGCTATCGGCAAGAAGCCCCCGCAAAGTCCCACTGTTGAAAAAAAGACGTGCTGAAGAGGTTACAATTTGCCAAACAGCACATTGACTGGCCTAAAGAGAAATGGTGCAACATTTTGTGGACTGATGAAAGTAAGATTGTTCTTTTTGGGTCTAGTGGCCGGAGACAGTTTGTCAGACGACCCCAAAACACTGAATTTAAGCCACAGTACACTGTGAAGACAGTGAAGCATGGTTGCGCAAGCATCATGATATGGGGATGTTTCTCATACTATAGTGTTGGGGGCCTATTTATCGCATACCAGGGATCATGGATCAGTTTGAATACATCAGAATACTTGAAGAGGTCATGCTGCCTTATGCTGAAGAGGAAATGCCCTTGAAATGGGTGTTCCAACAAGACAACGACCCCAAACACACCAGTAAACTTGCAACATCTTGGTTCCAGACCAACAAGATTGACGTTATGGAGTGGCCAGCCCAATAGAAAACTTGTGGGGTGACATCAAAAATGCAGTTTCTGATGTAAAACCAAGAAATAGAGAAGAACTGTGGAATGTAGTCCAATCATCCTGGGCTGGAATCAGGGGCGGACTGACAACTCATGGGGTCCCGGGCAATAGAGGATCATGGGGCCCCTGTGTCCTTGCCCAAACTCAAAAAAGCCTATGAAAAAGGTACCAGGGGCATTTCATGGGGCCCCCTACTGACCCCGGGGCCCTCGGGCAGTGCCCGAGTTTCCAAATGGTCAGTCCGCTCCTGGCTGGAATACCTGTTCACAGGTGCCGGACGTTGATTGACTCCATGCAACACAGATGTACAGGAGTTCTCAGAAACAGTGCTTATACAACTAAATATTAATTAAGTGATTCAAAGGAAAGCAAAATCTTCAAACATTTTTCAGTTTATATAGTGAATGTTTGAGTTTGTAAAGAAGAATACAAACACTGTTATTTTTTTGAACAGTCTAATATTCACTTTTCTTCACTTTTTTTAGAGGAACAACACAAATTTGATATC